TACGGTGGCTGCACTGGTTTATGTTCCCACCAACAGTGCATGAGGGTAAAAAAAAAAAAAAAAAAAAAAATTTAAAAAATGGGGTGGAGTCCCTAGCTGGCTCAGATAATAGAACATGGGACTTTTCATTTCAGGGTTGTGAGTTCGAGCCCCACACTGGGTGTAGAGATTACTTAAAAAAACAAACGAAACAAAACCCAAACGGTACACAAGGGTTCTTCTTTCTCCACATCCTTGCCAACACTTGTTTCCTATGGTGTTGATTTTAGCCATCCTGACAGGTGTGAAATGATATCTCGTTGTGGTTTTGATTTGCATTTCCCTGATGATGAGTGATGTTGAGCATCTTTTCATGTGTCTGTTGGTCATCTGTATGTCTTCTTTGGAGAAATGTCAGTTCATGTTTTCTGCCCATTTTATAATTGGATTGGCTTTTTTTTGGTGTTGTGTAAGTTCTTATTATTTTGGTTACTAGTCCTTTATCAGATATGTCATTTGCAAATGTCTTCTCCCATTCAGTAGGTTTTTAGTTTTGTTGATTGTTTCCTTTGCTGTACAGAAGCTTTATTTTGTTTTTTGTTTTGTTTTTAAAGATTTTATTTATTCATTTGACAGAGAGAGAGACAGCGAAAGAGGGAACACAAGCAGGGAGAGTGGCAGAGGGAGAAGCAGGCTTCCTGCCAAGCAGGGAGCCTGATATGGGGCTGGATCCCAGGACCCTGGGATCATGACCTGAGCCGAAGGCAGTCGCTTAATGACTGAGCCATCCAGGTGCCCCTGGAAGCTTTATTTTGATGTAGTCCCAATAGCTTATTTTTGCTTTTGTTTCTCTTGCCTCAGGAGACAGATCTAGAAGAATGTTCCTGTAGCCAGTGTCAGGAATTACTACTGTGCTCTCTTCTAGGATTTTTAGGTTTCAGGTCTCATATTTAGGTCTTTACTCCATTTTGAGTTTATTTTTATGTATGGTGTAAGAAAGGTCCAGTTTCATTCCCCATTTTGTTTGTTTATGCTATTCTTTAATATTCTTTTTTTAAAAAGACTTTTTTATTTTAGAGAGAGAAAGGGAGCATGAGCTGGAGGGGCAGAGGGAGAAAGAGAGAGAATCTCAAACAGACTCCATGCTGAGTGCAGAGACCCATGCAGGGCTCGATCTCACGACGCAGAGATCACGACCTGAGCTGAAACCAAGAGTCGGACGCTCAACCAACTGTGCCACCCAGGGGCCTTGAGAAAATATTTTTTAAAGTTTTTGAAAAATGTCACAGAGTTCTTAATTCATCAAAACAGAACAATAACAATGAAATAAGCTTTAAAAAAATTTTATCTAGAATTTCAGTGTTTGAGAAGAATGAGATGTATGGGGCACCTGGGTGGCTCAGTTGTTAAGCGTCTGCCTCCAGCTCAGGTCATGGTCCCAGGGTCCTGAGATTGAGCCCCGCATCGGGCTCCCTGCTCTTCGGGGAGCCTCCTTCTCCCTCTCCCTCTGCCCCTTGTGCTTGCTCTCTCTTTCACTCTCTCTCGAGTAAAGAAATAAAATCTTTTTAAAAAGTGGGAGAAAAAGGAGATTTAATTGGTAGAGGAAACGGGCAGCTGAGGATTCTGGTGAAAACTTTTCTGGAAGCACATTTGAGGGTTTCTGATGTTAAGTCGGAGACTGATTTTTTGTTTTTAAAATTAGAAAAATGTTTTTGATAATTTTTAAATTTCATCAAATATGTCATTTTGTGGCTTTAATAGATTTAAATTTATATTTATTAATTTATAGTATGTCACTAGCATTTTATTTTACCACTATTCTGATCCTTTAAAAAGTTCTCAGACAACGTTGAGTGATTTTTCAGAGTTGTAGATGAGCATAACTGAGAGGTAAGAGGAAAAGCTGAGGAGCAGAACATATATCCTGTTTGCTGGGTGTGGGGCATTGGGATACCCAAAAGAGAGGTGGTGCTTTGGTTGAGACACTTCTTTCTGATTACCACCAGGTGGCACCACTGACCCAGGGTGACTAAACCTTTGCCTAGAATCAGAAGAGGTTTTGAGAGCTGCTGTGGGGGTGGTATAGAGGGGTTTGCAGATGTGTGGGCAGGGGGATACTTGTGTATTCTTTTCCCCTCTAGTCTAGAGATTTTGGTAAACTGAATGTTTATAAGGCAGGGAATGAAGCACCTGAAGAATTTAAATCTTTATTATCTTTGATAATTCTTATTGTTTTTTTCTTTCTATACCTGTTATTCCTTCAGAAACAGGTAACATTTTCTAACAGCCTTTTTGTATTCTTGCATCTTGCTTTTATTATGCTTTTGTTTCTTGCCATGGAGGATAATGAAAAATTAATATACTCTCACATGGCATTGGAACAATCTGCATACAAATTCCCACACTTGCAATTAGATTATAGCCAGTTGATTTTCCAAACTTTGCAGAAATCCTGGCTATAGGTTGTACTATTTAAATCCAGCATTTTTTTTTTTTTTCCAAAAATTCAAACATGGGGTTTTCAGAATTTACAGTATTAGGTGTTGGTAATAGTGTAGAATGAAATATCCAGGTCTTGCTTCCTTCTACCTAATAATAATACAGTGTTGACCTGAAATACAGTATTTATGACCAGGGTTTTTCCCCAGCTTCCTGACTGTATAACCTCATTTTTGTGCTCACTTTCTACTTCTGCTCTTTTTTTTTTTTTTTTAACATCTTTCTCTAAACTCTTCATTCATCTTTAAAAAGGGACTTTCTTTGGAGGAGGTTTTAAAATTAAGGAATATCATCCTTAAGAGAAACACACCTTTTGTGTTTTCTCCGCCCCCTCCCCATTACTGCCTCGAAAGAAAGCTATCATGCTAAGTAACAACATATGAGTAGTTAATTCCTTTTACAATATTGGTATTGTAAACAGAAATTTATGATAAAAATGTAGTAGTGAAAAAAACAGGTTACTTAATAATGTCCTGTTAATAGAGCCTAAATTGTGATCAGCAGGGTAAAACTTGGTTCAGTGAAGTGTTAGATGCTTGCTTTTCCACATTGACTTCCATTCAGGGATCCTTTTTGATTTTATTCAGAATAATACTGATAAAAATTTATTTATCAATTTGAGTACAGCTTGGTTCAGTCCCTGTCTTTCCTAAATACTTTGGCACACACATGCACACACATGTACAACACATGTTATAGTGGGAAAAAGTCCATTTATGTGGTTATGTAAAAATATCTCTTGCTTTGAGCTTTAGTTTCTTAGATAAAGAGTATCATCTTTAATGCTGGGTTTCCATGTAAGTAAATATTTTATACACTGAAGTGGTAGATGCTTCTCAAAAAACTAAGGCGATTACAACATGAATAGGATCAGCAGTATAAATTAATAATTGTATTGCTCTTTGTAGAAGGTGACATGACTGGTTTGGAATTTTCCTGTAGTCTAGTTTTCTGGGAAAATAGGGAATTTCAGCATCCTAATGTAAGTTGTTACTGATGTTTTCTTGAAGCATTTCACGTTCTTGAAAATAAACATAGCAAAACTAATTTTTATCAAGAATTTGTACAACTATAAGGTGATAGAGGGTATTGCTTGACTTAGGTGAATTTCACATAAAGCCAAGTGTTTAGGGCCGTTAGTGGCTTCCAGCTGAAAGTGGCATTATGGAGACAACACCAGTCTATTAGAACCTCTTAGAGAGCTTTTTCAGAGTACAGTAATCTTCCAGTGTATGCTCCATTCTACCTCCACCTGAGGCCTGCTGTTCTTGGGGATCCCCCTTGGTACGCTCTTAGCTCTTAAAATTGCTAGCAGTGGGAGCTGCTGGTAGAGCGAGTGGCTGAGCCCACAGGTGCAGTTATGCTTTTATTTCCTGGATTGCATGTACACACACCCATCCACCACTAGTTTAGGATGAGAGGAGGTAAGAGCTAGTTAGGTTTGTAGTGCCAAGCTGGCTTAAATGTGCTGGCTTGGATTTCTTATTTTGGTTATCACCTTGCCCCCCAGGGAGCCAGTGACTGTTACAGAAGTTGTACCAAATAAAAAATCTCTCTGGAATTGTCTCTATTAAAAGAGACACAGTTGTTTATTCTTCTTTACTCCTGCTCTTTGGTGGCAGCTTATAGTATGGGTGAGGGCACAGTGACTGGGAGCTGGTATCCTTTGACAGAGCCAGATCAGCAGAAGTATTATTCCCTAGCCCTGTGCTAGGTGATACCTTGTGGGCCCAGCCATTTAAATGCAAGCCTGTATCTCCAAAGCATTTTCTAATACTGTCATTGCTCAAGTAGACCTTTACTTGCCTGGTCCTAACACCCAACTAGAGAAAAATTTTCTTTGCTGGGTAGCAGCTCTGAGATATTTCCTGTCAGCTGAACATGGTGATGCTCTCCCAAGCTACCTGCTCCTCAGTAACATTAGAGAGGAGAGGACACAGTAAGTGAGAAAGTGAGGGTGGGAAGTCCTGGTAGATAGGCCTGCCTCCTGAACCTTTTGGGGATGATGACACTGTAGCGCCTGAACTTTTTAACAGAGTGGCTATAGGGAAAAATGGATTCTATGAAGGGTTTGCTCACTTAGAATGGCTTCAGTTACTAATGGCAAGACCCCTGAATATAGACATGGATTTGGAAAGTTAAAATGCCTATGTTTGGATATAGGAGTTCTGAGCTTTTATTTAATTAATGGATCCATTAAACAAGAAGCATCCTATTTTAGATGGGTTGGTAGAGATTTTCTGGATCGCTTCTGAAATACAAAGTAATTATTTTTAATATAATTTAATGACCTGGTGAATGCATTAAAACATTTCATGTGGCTTAAAATTATATGGGAAGAACTGAAAGTTTTTGGAAGATTATTGTATTAGAAGCATTATACATCTGAAAGCATACCATTAATGAATGTTACACTTTCTATATCATAATTATTTTTAGCATATCTCTGTTGATAATTTGTGTGTATTACTGTTGCCCATTGTCTGACTATGTGATCTTTCAGCTAAGTCCATCCTTTGCAGATGCTTTTACTGATTCTGCTATCAGTGCTAAAGTGAATGGTGAACACAAAGAGAAGGACCTGGAGCCCTGGGATGCAGGTGAACTCACTACCAGTGAGGAACTGGAGGCTTTGGAAAATGATGTAGTAAGTAAAGTCTTTTGATTAGTATCAGACTGTGGTCATGTGATGTGGTGTGACATCTTATTATTTGGTTTTAATTTAAGTATGTTGTCATCATTGTAGTAGATACATTTAAAGCAGCAGTCTTATTGTCTAAATAGAGATCTCCCCCCAGGCAGTAAATACAGACAAATGTTTCTTTGGGATGCTTATGAATGATTTCCATGTTTTTAAATAAACCATAATAAGCAACTTAAAATTTAAGTTGGGAAGCATGGGAAACTGGAAATACTGGTATGTTTTGCTTTGAATGCTTTACAGAATAAGGCAGCCTAAGGAAATTAGCGTCTTAATTGTCTCTTGACGTTACCTAGAGGTCTGAGGAAGAGGTTCTCACTATTAAGATACATAGTTAAGTTGCATTAGAAATAAAGCAGTAAGTAGATTTCTTGGTCTTAAAATTAAGATCATTCCCCACAGAAATCTGCTATTTCTAAAAGCTTTTTAGTGTATATTATTTTTACTTTTCCCATAACACATCATCTCTAAATCAAATGCTTAGTAGTAAGGACTATCGTTAGGATTCTATAAATTATGTTTGTAAGGTAGATAGAAAGTAAAATCTCTTACCAAAAATGAGCGTTTAGGTAGCAACATTTGAATTGGATGAAGAATCTTCCATTGAATATTGTGGAGAAGTCTTTATAACAAATCTGTTTTTAATGTTTAAGTCCAGCTATAACACTGAAAATACATAGGCAACACATCATTATTCATTTTCAGACTTCAAAGAATCCGATATAACCTAATGTGGAGGTTCTCAGGTCTCTGCACCACATCACCTATGTAGGATACGAAGCAGGTACTCCTTTTTTACTGATAGTGAGGTGGATAAACCGTTAAGTTGCCAGAGAGCATTCTGACAATATTTATAAAAGTTTAAAACACACCTATGTTGGACTCACCTCTGAGAATTTATTATTGTCCTGGTATATCCATAGGACATGCAAATAATGATGCGTAAGGATGTTTTCTGCAACATTATCTCTGATAGTGAAAAATTGGAAACAACCTGTTCATCAGTAGGGCATGGGTTAAATAGATTTATTGTACCTCCATTCAACTGAAACACTGTATTTCCACTAAAAAGAATGGCATTCTGATATGGAAAGATATTCAAGACTTATTAAAAGATCAAGCAAGTTACATAACAAGAAGATCCTATTTGAATTAAAAAGGAGATTGCTCTAACTGATCATGTTCTTAATGACTACATAGAGCACATCTGGAATTATGCCCAAGAAGTTAATAGTGGTTAACTATTGTGGCAAGATGATAGACATTGTTAATGTAAGATATTGATTGTACTTGAATTAAAGAAGACGAATACTTTGTCATTTTGAAAAATAAACTATTTTCTTCTAGTCTAATGGATGGGATCCCAATGATATGTTTCGATATAATGAAGAAAATTATGGTGTAGTGTCTACATATGATAGCAGTTTATCTTCATATACGTAAGTTTAAAAAATTGGCTTTTATTTTACTACATTTATCTTTGATTTTCATCAACTTATATTAGGATGTTGAATAAATTTTTCTGTTGGATTTTTAAAAAATTTATTTTACTTTTTTTTAAGAGAGAGGAAGGAGCGGGGCCAGATTGAGAGGGAGAGAGGGAATCTTAAGCGGGCTCCATGCCCAGTGTGGAGCGTGACACGGTGCTTGATCTCACAACCCTGAGATCATGACCTGAACTAAAATCAAGAGTTGGATGCTTAACTGACTGAGCCACCCAGGCGCCCCCTGTCAGATGTTAAGTTAAACAGTTACATGAAAGAATTGATCCTGCTACTACTTAAGCTGATAGATTCTCATTAAAACAGGAAATAAATGCAGTTTAGTTCACCTGTATTCTAATGTTGTGCTCTAGATAAATTTTGTTTTTGTTTTAAGTTGTAAAAACTCTTAAGTTTGCAAGTGTAGATGTTATGGGAGAAAGTCCATTTAACCAGCTTTGGAAATGTTACATTCCTCTAGGGAAAAGTGAAACAAAAAAATTTCTAATTTTGATTTATACATGAGCAGATCACTGTAACTCTTTTATATTTTTATCAGTCTTTCAAACTCTAAACTCTTTTAAATTGATTGGGACAGATATATAAACTGTGACTTTAAAATACTCACTTTGCTTTTTTTTTTCCCTCATGTCAGGGTACCCTTAGAAAGGGATAACTCAGAAGAATTTTTAAAACGAGAAGCAAGGGCAAACCAGTTAGCAGAAGAAATTGAATCAAGTGCCCAGTACAAAGCCCGGGTGGCCCTGGAAAATGATGATAGGAGTGAAGAAGAAAAATACACAGCCGTTCAGAGAAATTCCAGTGAACGTGAGGGCCACAGCATAAACACTAGGTATTTAAAGGAAATCATGATGCAGTATTTTGGATACACAACTCAAGGTCTGTGTGAGAAGGTGTATTATTATTATTATATTTCATCTTCCTTTAATGTAGCTTAGGTAGAGAATGCAAGTGGAATTGGTTTAAGATTCTTTTAGAGAAAAGATTAGAGTAATTTTGGAAAATATTTTTTGAGCATCAGCTCTGTGAAGCCAAGTGTTGGAAGTACAGTGATGAGCAAGCCAAGGTGTGGAAGAGCTATTTAAAGAAAAGCGATCAGATGGGGGGATGGTGCACAGAACATAATAGCAGTTCACTAGGATTTGCTAGATTAGAGGTGTGTCCAGAGTGAGAAAGAACGAGCATATAACCAGTGGGGTCAGAGAAAATCTCACAGAGGTGACATTTTGTGATAGGATAGTAGCACTGTCTGCTGCCCAAAGAGAAGTAAGAGAGAAGCATTCCTTGCATGATGAAAAGAAATGTGAAAGAACCTGGCCAACCGGGGGTGAGGCTGGTTGTTTCATATGTCTGGAATACAGGGTGATGTTGAGGGTGCAGTGGTGGTAGCTGGTGAAAGGAACTGAGGTAGTGAAGGGTTTGTGTCCTGTTAAAGAGCACCCTGTAGGCAGGGGAAGGTGTGAACGAACTCTGGGACATTTGAGAATTGGCTGAAACATGGAGACCAGTTAGTGTATTGAAATTGTTCAAGTGTGAGAACTTGGTAACTATCTAGGCCAGGGCTTGTGAGAGAAAGGTTAGAAAAGCCATGGGTGACCTGAGGTTTATTTGATAACTAAATTGATTGCTATTTGTACTGGTAATGGAGATAGAAAACAGCAAATTTGAGGGGAGATAAGAGTGAGCCCTTTGTTAAATTTATTGCATTTGAGGGGCTCGTCGGTCTTTGATTCATTTATTCATAAACATGTTGAGAAACATCTACTACATACCTGGTAGGGTAAGATATAAATTCTTTCTTAAAGACGCAGCTTATAGTCTGATGATTTGAATTAAAGTGTTCAGTGGGAGATGTTGAGACTGTGGGACTGGCAGTGTGGATTTAGGATTTGTCAGCATTGCTGATACTGAATGAAAAAACCAATGAATAGCCACAAAGAGAAGAAATCCAAGAAAAAACAAAGTAGAGAAAGCTAAGGACAAAGAAAGTTTTAGGAAGTCAGACCATATTTGATAGACTCAGCCATTTAGAGGTAAAGTAGGATGCGAATGAACACAAATCTGTTCAACTTTTTGCTTAGGAGGAGAATCTGAGAGAAAGGAAAGGCCAGAGGCTAGACCTCAGGGTAACATGGAAGAATTAGGGATATTTGGGAGTGAGACATTTTGTTTTAGTGTTTAACCTTTTTATAACAAGCATTCACTTCTGCCTCAATTACTTTTAGATTTGTTTCATTGGCCTGGTATCTGTTAGGATAAAATGATTTAGAGGCTCTCTCATTTTCAGGGAAAATAAATATATTCCTCCTGGACAAAGAAATAGAGAAGTCATATCCTGGGGAAGTGGGAGACAGAATTCACCGCGTATGGGCCAGCCTGGATCGGGCTCCATGCCATCAAGATCCACCTCTCACACTTCAGATTTCAACCCGAATTCTGGTTCAGACCAAAGAGTAGTTAATGGAGGCAAGTATTTTGACCAAATTTGTCAATGTCCTCGATCAAATATATAGTTGTCTGAATATTTAAGTTTAACATAATTGGTAAGAGCATGCACACCTTCAGTGATTTCTGTGGAGTAGTTTTTACTTCAAAATTATTTAAAATTTGCCTTTGTGGATATCAAATTAGTATAAGTCATTGGCATATACAGTATTTAGTGTGATGAAATACATATTAAGATAAAGTGCTAAATTTGGCCAAAAAATACTCCACATATAAAGAAATTGGAAACTTTGGGTAGGTTCTCAATTTTAAAAACACTGGATGATAAAACTACTTAAACATAGTTAATATGGAAAATCCTAGTCTGTGTGAAACACTCAGTGGTTAATACAGATTAATTTTCATTAACTGCACATTTATATTCTGCTTACTTCAAGAAAGGATTTGAGGTAACTTGCTATACTAGACATGACCAAGAGTCATGTGAAGAAGATAAGAAAGAAATGTGCTTAAAAAACAATAGAAACAACTCTTAGTTGAAGGGTGGATATTGCAGTTTAGCATAAGTACGGTGAAAGAGACTTGCATCTTTAGTAGGAAGATATTTTTCTGCTTTACCTCTAAATCTAAGATTGACTATACCTCATAGGTCACGGATCTTTCACGTGAGTCAGGGATACTGGACAGCAGTACTATAGGCAATATGGAAATAGCAGTACTGTGTTCCTAACCTAGGGAACAAAGTGGACATTCAGTTTAAGATATTTAGGTTGAGAGAGTTAGAAAAGGAGAGAACATTAAGTTTCCAATTTCAGTTGTTTCTGTTGAGTCTTTCTCCAGAATTCCTCTCCAAATAAACACTCTTGAGTATTTTCTGTACTTAGTATTGGGGGTGACATTTCTTTGCTCACTGAGTAAAGAATTTTAGTTCATGAACAGAATTTTCAAGTAAAAAACCTGAAGGGGGCTAGGAAATGTATGATACTCAAGTGTGTGGAACCCTCTGGAGAGGAGACCTGGACTGTTTCCTAAGATCAAGGTAAGTGATATGTAATGTTACACATTAGCTATATCTTGATCTGTGCATATCCGTCAGTGTCCGTTTATTTGGTGATGACTGCTCTCTAGTTGCATAGTTTATTAAGCAGTCACTTAAATAAGTGTTTAACTGCATGAATTACTTAGCAGGTCCCCCCTCTTTTTCTAATTCGATAACATTAAAATGTTTTTTGAAAAGGCAATGAATATTAACCTTTGTCACTCCTGTGACTCTAAAAAATAGAAGTAATGTTTTATTTCTATTAAATGGACTTGCTTAGATTTCAAACTAAATTTTAACCTTCAAGTTACAAACTAGATGAAAATCACAGATGGTTATATAAAACCCAGCATTTTTAATGGGATATAATAGCTGCTGCTTATTTTCATGTTTCAAAAGCTAAAACTAATATAGTAAGTAATCTTATTCCTGAGTTTTGTGATTTATTGTGTGAAATTACTTAGTTTATGTTATATTCCTTTTAATAATTGATTATTGAGAAACAGTAACAAGCAGGATTAATAGGCAAAGTCTTAACTGTCTTCTTCAATAGTATGTGTAGATCCTAATTAACCCTTTGGGAACGTGTGTTCATTCAAACAGACTTAATTTTAAGGAGGTTAAAGTAAAATGTGAATTTATGTCAGTTAAGTTATGCTAAAACTTATCACAAATCAAATGACTGTCCTCAAAGGGTTAAAATGTACAAGAAATCATTTTTGTCATTTTACTTTTTTTTCTGTTTACTTTTTTCCCTCATTTTTTTCTTTAGTTTTTATACTTTCCTTCATATCATTTGTTCTGTCAGGTGTTCCCTGGCCATCGCCTTGCCCATCTCCTTCCTCTCGCCCACCTTCTCGCTACCAGTCAGGTCCCAACTCTCTTCCACCTCGGGCAGCCACCCCTACACGGCCGCCCTCCAGGCCCCCCTCGCGGCCATCCAGACCCCCGTCTCACCCCTCTGCTCATGGTTCTCCAGCTCCTGTCTCTACTATGCCTAAACGCATGTCTTCAGAAGGTACAATACCACAATTTGTTCATGTTTTTGTTTGTCTTTGTTTAACTCCTATGTGAGTTTATAATTACAAAATAGTTTCCTCTTCATTATTTAATAACCTATAATTTCCGTGTTTTAACTTTAGTTTATTAAAACTATTTCTATTAACCTTTTGTTCATTAGAGAGAAATTTGATAAATGTTGTGTGAAGCTATGAACTATCCTGGATTTTAAGGATGGGGGTTTATCTCTGCCTGGTAATAATGATGCTCCTTTACAGCCCCAGAAGGTCTGCCCCAGGTTTTTGTCCCTCTCAATATACAGTATAAAGAGTGGTTAATGAAGAGCAATGAACTTTCTTCACCCAGTATTGGACTTACTGTAGAACCTGTCATTTTATAGCTCCTTGGCCAAGGTACTAGTGAACCTACCTGTTGGCCAAAGGCAGTAATGGTGATTGAGGGATCCTTTTTGAGACGGACATTCCATGTAACTGCCTTTGTGTCTCTACCTGCTTTTAGATTATAAAACTGAGATTGGTTTTATGTTTGGGGAATTTAAGAAAATTAGCTTTGTAATATTTTCTAGTGAAAGTCTAATCTGTAAGAAGTCCTTGATCTAAGATAAAATTTTTTATAAGATTTTATTTATTTACCCAACAGAGAGAGACACAGTGAGAAAGGGAACACAAGCAGAGGGAGTGGGAGAGGGAGAAGAGGTCCCTAGCCGAGCAGGGAGCCAGATGTGGGGCTCGATCCCAGGACCCTGGGATCATGACCTGAGTTGAAGGCAGATGCTTAACGACTGAGCCACCCAGGAGACCCTAAGATAAAATATTCTTAATAAAAACCATTTGCCCTTGTCAAAAAAAAAAAAAATCCTGTATTTCTCATGCAATGTTTGGTGCTAAGTCCACTGTTGCTATATATCAAATATATGGAGATACTGTAGAAAGGTCACATTTTAATATAAATGCAGTGCATATGTTAAAAACCTGTTTTCTGGATGATAAGTACTTTTGATATTATTTCAGAGTATTTGTGTTAACATTTTAATCTGATTTGTTCATTAAAATCGTGGTTGATAGAACTTTCGCTGAGACTAATAGAGTTTCCTGGCATAAAGTGCTTCCCTGGAGAAAACTATTTTGGCTACTTTTTTTTTTTTTTTTTAAGATTTTATTTATTTATTTGACAGAGAGACACAGCCAGAGATGGAACACAAGCAGGGGGGAGTGGGAGAGGGAGAAGCAGGCTTCCCACGGAGCAGGGAGCCGGATGTGGGGCTCGATCCCAGGACCCTGGGATCATGACCTGAGCCGAAGACAGATGCTTAACGACTGAGCCACCCAGGCGCCCCTGCTGGCTACTTTTTAATAAACTGTTGCCATCCAGGCAGGAGGGAGGTCATATGATACTGACTAAAGTGGCTAACCTTGAACAGCATGTTGCACTGATTTTCAAGGTGACTTCCTTGCTAGAAAGTGCTTGTAATGGTGGCCACTAAGTGAAAAGTTAAAATCTGTTGTGGTATTTGTGGTGCATTGTTTGAGTAAAGCAGGACTCGTTAGTGAGTATGAACGTCTTCACTATAGTAAGTTGTAGACTGCTTGTGGAGGGACTATTCATGTTAGAAGTAGACCTTCTACATATTCAGAGCTGCTACATTATCCAATTTTTCTTTTTAACTAATTTGAATTAAAATGTTTTCCAGTCATGTAGTTAGGTGACACTGAAGCATTTTTCAAGTGTGAACTTCAAACGTAGAACTATTAAATACAGTGGTTTTCTGTGTTTAATATGGGAGAGTACTTTGTATTTTATGTATTAACAAAAAGAATGATTTTTTTTTTTTTCCAAATTAGAGTTTGATTTCACTGAACTATGCCAACCAGCTTTCTTGGTCTTTTTCTCTAAATGGGTATAAAAAATTTATATGATGTGCATATACTTAATTCTTAAATTATTTTTTTATATAAATCACTTCTCCAGTTGAAAACTATAATATATAACATTAATAGTTCTTTTTAATATTCATGATTAAATTTCTACTGACGGTACAAATTTATTTGACATTCTTAAGACTTTGACAGGAAGGTGAGGGTGAGGAACCTTGGCTTTGACATTAAGGATGAGTTTTGCTGAGTATTAGCACTGTCTGGCTTTTCTACTGAGAGCCATTCTGTCCACTGATTTCATCTGATTGTTTTGTTCAAATGCAGAGTAGACTTCTTTAGAAATAGAAGCCACTAATGGGGTGGCAGAATTAATGATCTAGAATTTTTGACAATTCATATATACAAATTTCTTCTTCAGATGCCAGTTTTAGTCTTTCAGGTCATGCCTTTCAGCTCATAGCCTGTTCAGTCTGAGAAACTGCTTACATGTGAAGACTGTTTTAAGGCATGGGTTGTAAAATTTATTGTCATGTTTCAGTAGTATAAAAGTACATAGGGATTAATATTCTTTTTGTTTCAAAATCTTTTTTTCTAATTTTAGAAAGTTTGAGGGAAAAAGCTAAAAGTATGTGGTAAAATAAGACTTACCTAACTATCATGTAACTGTAACTTCTATTAATATTTTATTATATTTATTTTTATATGCCCATAAGTAATGGATATAGATTAAACAAATAAAAATCTTTGGAGAGTTACAATATGTTTGATTTCTTAACACCAACTTCATCCCTCCCTTTCTTTAAAAAAAACAGGGAAATAATATAAAATTTATTTATAAAACCTTGTGGCATTCCACAAAATAATTCTGAAAGAATATGGCCCAAAATACAGTTTTTTGGTGGTGTTCTTTCTTTTATAACCAAGGAGAAACTAGGGAGAGAGCAAGAGAGAGAGAGAGTGTTTGTGTGTGTGTGTGTGTGTGTGTGTGTATGTGAATAGGGTTTATGTATTTAGCAGAAAAGTTGTACTGATGGACGTTGTAGCATTTATGTGATGTTCACTCTTCCTTTCTTAGGGCCTCCAAGGATGTCCCCAAAGGCCCAGCGACACCCTCGAAATCACAGAGTTTCTGCTGGGAGGGGTTCCATTTCCAGTGGCCTAGAATTTGTATCCCATACCCCACCAAGTGAAGCAGCTGCTCCTCCAGCAGCAAGAACTAGTCCTGCGGGGGGCACATGGTCATCAGTGGTCAGCGGGGGTAGGTAATACTTGGCTTGGAGTATGACAACAGTGTTCATTTTGTAACTCTGCTGCATGTAAAAAGGGCTGAGCTTAAGCTTTGTTTGAGGAATAATAAGTGTATATCTTAAAATTAGTGGAGTAACCAGGAATTGGGAAAGCTGTATTTTTATTCTGGCTTCCACCACATATTCACCGTATGTTAGAGCAAACCATGTGATTATTCTGAATTTCAGTTTTCTCAATGGATTAGAGTCATTTTTGCCTGTTCTACTTTATGGACTTGTGATAAGATTCATATCAGGTTCCTAAGTTAGGAATATACTTCATAGTTTTATAAAGTACCACTCAAATACAAAACAAATACAGTATGTAACATCATTTGGACAGACTGTATTTCCTGTCTTAGCAATTTTGTCTGTGGATTAATTCCACAAACATTTGCTGGGGCTTACAGTGCTGTGTATTTCTGTAGCATCTGTATATGGCACTAATTCCTGATGGTATTTTCTTTATAAGGAATATAAAAAACATACATGACGGGCCCAAGTTTTATCTGTGATTAGCCCAAGGAATGTGCTGATAGCAGCTGTAAAAGTATAAAAGATACATAAAAAGACTAACTGTAAGCTTAGTCCAGAACTGCTTTTGCTATTTAATGTTTTGCTTCCATGATAACTGTGGAGAGTTAGAACATGCAGTGATTGTGGTTTTTTATTCATAATCTGTCTTAATCAGCACATAGATTTTTAAGAGGGAAAAGATCTTTAAGCTTAAACAAAAATATACCCAACTCTATTAAATTAGTCGATATACATTGTTTAGCATCATGTATGTATAATTTCATGGTAAATTCCTTTGTATGTTCTGTTTGGTCCTCAAGGAAGACCGAAGGAAATTAGATATTAGAAATTAGATATTTTATTAATGTAATATAATTAGAAATTAGATATTAGGTATTAGAAATAATTCACTTAGCAAGAAAATAGAATTTCTAAAAATCTTTATTCAGTTGTACCATTCATCATTTGACATTACTCAGAGAATCTGGAAGTGAATTTTGAGAGTAACAACATAATTATAGAAGTGAAACAATAAAAACTGTTATTAGAAATATACACAGAGTGGTGTTATAGTTTCATTTTTTATACTAATTAGAAAAATGACAGTTGTTGGATAGTTTCCTTCCATGATCCTATGACTTAAAAAAGTAAAGAACCACTAAATTGAAGCAAAGGAACCATTTTCTCTAAACCTTTGAATCTGAGTTCTACAAATAGGTTTATAATGGAATAAGAAACCTATTAGTTGTTTACTTGAGGACAGGTGGAACAGGAACCCTGGTGGATTATCTTCTGCTTTTGGCTAAATTGGTTCCCCGATTTTCTTAGTTATTGTAAAGTGCCTCTTGAGGTGGCTAGAAAGAACATACAGGATTGGCTGCAAGCTGCCAAAAGGTGTTTGAGTTTATTATTTGAAGGAGGAACAGATAAGCCTATTTCTTTGGGATCTACCACCCCACTGTTAAAGAAACATCTCACTTCTTAGTGGGGAATGTTGCTGTCTTCATCTTAAAAAGTGGGGTTTATCCTGTCTTAAAATCCAGTTTCTAATTTCATTTAAAGGTACTGCCCTTTAGAATTAATCTAATCTATTAGTTACAAGGAAAAACTACAGTTGTACTTAGGTACTAGTAATTGTTGTCATTCTTCAGGTATTTGTGTTTTCAGTTACCACCACTATTCCCTAAGACTTTTTTTTTTTTTTTTTTTACAGATTTTATTTATTTGAGAGAGACAGAGAGCACATGAGAGGGGGGAGGGTCAGAGGGAGAAGCAGGCTCCCCGCCGAGCAGGGAGCCCGATGCGGGACTCGATCCCGGGACTCCAGGATCATGACCTGAGCCGAAGGCAGTCGCTTAACGAACTGAGCCACCCAGGCGCCCTCCCTAAGACTTTTGAAAAGAAAACAGGGTGATGGGATAAAGAGTAATTGGGATGGTGGTTGACTAGGACTATTTTACCTAAATTTTCTAAGAAGCCTCTTTGAGGAAGTGACATTTGAGCTGAGAATGTAATGGATAACTTTTCTCTTTCTTGTAGTTCCAAGATTATCCCCTAAAACTCACAGACCCCGATCTCCCAGACAGAACAGTATTGGAAATACTCCTGGTGGACCAGTTCTTGCTTCTCCTCAGGCTGGTATTATTCCAGCCGAAGCTGTTGCTATGCCTGTTCCAGCCGCATCTCCTACGCCTGCCAGTCCTGCATCCAACAGAGCTGTTACCCCATCTATTGAGGGTATGTACAAGAGGGCTTCCAGCTCCACGTCATTTGTGAAGTTGAGTAACAAATGCTATGTTTATTCATAGTTATGTATTTGAGTATATATTTAATATTGTATGTAAATGAAGTTGTTTAATACTACTAATTTCATATATGTTATCCTTGAATGTTTGCTGTTACAAGGGTTAACATTCCTAGGTAGTAAATATCAATATAAATAAAGTTGTTGGTGTTTCATTTATCTGCAAAGGAGAAAGCTTCTGGTTAAATGGAAATTTTTTTCCCAAAAACTATAGGAAATAAAAATTGTTGACTACTTTCCCATTTTACTTTATTATTTTTTTAAATATGTATTTTTTTTTAGCTAAGGATTCCAGGCTTCAAGATCAGAGGCAGAACTCTCCTGCAGGGAATAAAGAAAATATGAAGCCCAATGAGACATCACCTAGCTTCTCAAAGACTGAAAATAAAGGTTAGAGCGTTAAATAGTATAATTGTGGAAATAGGAAGGAGATGTCTAAACTCATGCCCAGTACAGATTGTTTTTGGTCAGTGCTTTTTCTTAGGATTGTGCATTTTTAAATGCATAATTTGACAGATGTCAAAATCTGTAATTAATATATTGAATAAAAGCTTATTTTCATTTTAAGTTAATTTTAAGTTAAAGATTTACAATAAGTTGATATTTAACAGTTTGTAATTTTACAGGTATATCACCAATTGTTTCTGAACATAGAAAGCAAATTGATGACTTAAAGAAGTTTAAGAATGATTTTAGGGTAAGTGTTGTTATTGATTGAATTAGAATTTTAAAAATGAATATTAAACATGATTAAGAATTTTTATATCCTTCATTTACAAAAATGCATTATATGCATACCCAGAAGCATTGAACCATGTCTGTAGAAAGCTAAACATTCTTAAAGTTGTCTTTGTGCTTTTAAATTATTTATTTATTTTATTTACTTATTTTTAGAGAGTGAGCTTGGGGGAGGGTGGAGGGAATAAAGGGAGAAGGAGAGAGAGAATCTCGAGCCGACTCTGGGCTGAGCGCAGAGCCTGACACAGGGCTCGATCTCATGACCCTGAGCTCATGACCTGAGCCGAATCAGAGTCAATCGCTTTGCCAGCTGAGCCACCCAAGTGCCTCTTCCTGTGCTTTTAAGTAGGTAACTAAAATCAGGAGCTTTGAGAACTATACAGATAACAAATGAAAGAGAATATAATTTTGACATTCGAAGCCAGTCATAAGTTATTATTTGATGCTTATTTGATTACTTTATTCAGTGAAGAGTAGAGCAAAGCCGGGGCATTAATTATCTGATGGGGCTAGTGGAAGATGTAATGGACCCTGGTGTTCTGAGATAGTTGCAGATTTACACTTTGTACACAAATGTATTGTGGTAGAAATTGGTCTTTAATACCATTTCTCTGCCTTAAGACTTGCTGAACATACTCTGATCTCTTTTGGATGAACATTGCATTCTTTCACACAGTGTTTACTATAATACATTTTGTATATCAAGTAATTTTGGGACCACTCAAGAAGTCATCCTGAAACTTAGTTTCTTAGAGGAAAGGATCGGATTATCAGCCTTTGGAAAAAACAACTGACTTAAGAGATGAATCAGTCAAAGGCAAAAGGCAGCCTTTTCCTAGTCTGTGTTAGCTTCCTAAAAATTAATAATTTTTTGCTATAACTTCATATTTATTAGCACCATTCAAAATATTACATATCATATTTTATCACAGTTGTATGTATTCAGCTTTAATGCTGTTAGTGGTTGTGAATTTAAATTTAAATTTTTTAAGCCATAGCTAATCCATGGACATGATACGGAGAATTATTTTTATTTTTTTATTTTTTTAAAGATTTTATTTATTTGACAGAGAGACACACAGTGAGAGAGGGAACACAAGCAGGGGGAGTGGGAGAGGGAGAAGCAGGCTTCCTGCTGAACAGGGAGCCCGATGCGGGGCTCGATCCCAGGACCCTGGGATCATGAACTGACCCGAAGGTAGACGCTCAACGACTGAGCCACCCAGGCGCCCTGATACGGAGAATTAACGACTGAATGCCCAGATATCAAGCTTAACATGTCATTCTCTCCAACACAGTTGAAGCCCTCCTGTGTACTTGGTCTCCTTAGCTGCATCCTCCTGCCAGAGGGAAGGGTTTCTTTCCTGTGCAGTTCTTTACATTGCATCTGAATAGATTCCTAAGGAATAAGTGATACTGTTTTGCATAATCTTCCATTTGATGTAAATGAGCTAATGCTATAGGTATTGCCTATTTCCTTTTATTCTCTCAGCATTACTTTTTACAGTGAAGCATTCAGTCCTTACTTACTTACATACATTGAATTTATTATGAAGGAAAGAAAAATTTTTATTTAGAAGCATATGAGTAGTATCTTTCTTGTAACAGTCTTATTGACATATAATTTACATGTCATACATTTTAGCCATACAAAGTGTACAATTCAGTGGCTTTTAGTATATTCACAGAATTGTACAGTCATTACCACAGTCAATTTTAGAACATTTTCTTCACCCCGAAAAGAAACCCCATACCCCTTAGCAGTCACTCCGCTTTTGCTTTCAAACACCTCCCCCTCACCCCTTTCCATAGGTCTTAAACAATCTGCTTTCTTTATTTTTTTATTTTTTAAAGATGTTATTTATTTATTTGAGAGAGAATGAGATAGAGAGCATGACAGGCGGGAGGGTTAGAGGGAGAAGCTGACTCCCTGCTGAGCAGGGAGCCCAATGCGGGACTTGATCCTGGGACTCCAGGATCATGACCTGAGCCGAAGGCAGTCGCTTAACCAACTGAGCCACCCAGCTGCCCCTGCTTTCTTTATCTATATACAGTTGCCTATTCTGGACATTTCATATGAATGGAATCCTCATATGAGGCCTTTTGTGTCTGGCTTCTTTCACTTAGCATAATGTTTTCAGAGTTCATCCATGTTGGAACATCTATCATTGCTTTTTTTTTTTTTAAAGATTATTTGAGAGAGCGCATGAGAGTGTGTGTGCGAGCAGAGGGAGAGGGAGAGAGAATCTCAAGCAGACTCCCTGCTGAGCATGGAGCCCACTGTGGGGCTTGATCCCACAACCCTGAGATCAGGACCTGAGCTGAAACCAAGAGTTGGTCACCTAACCCAACTGCACCACCCAGGTGCCTCAGTACTTCATTGCTTTTTAATAATACTCCATTGTATGAATAGACTACATTTTATTTATTCATCAGTTGATGTGTCTTTGAGTTACTCACACTTTTTGACTATTATGATTAATGCTGCTATGAATATTAGTGTAGTTTTTGTTGTGGACATATATATTCATTTCTCTTGGGTGTATATATGTAAGAGTAGAATTTCTGGGTCCTGTGGTAACTCTGTCTTTAACCTTTTGAGGAAAATTTCCAGACTGTTTGCCAAAGCAACTTCAGTATTGTATATTTCCACCACCAGCATTTAAGGATTTCTGTTTCTCCACATCCTTGACAACACTTGTTATTGTCTTTTTTATTATAGGCATCCTTGTGGTATCTCATTGTGGTTTTGATTTGCATTTCTGTTGGCTAACGATGTTGGGCATCTTTTTATGTGTTCATTGGCCATTTGTAAATCTTTTTAGAGAAATGTCTATTCAGATCCTTTGCCCATTTTAAAATCTGAGTTGTCTTACTGACTTCTTTATGTATTCTGTGTACAAGTCTCACATGTGATACATGGTTTGCAGTTTTTTTCTACCATTCTATCGGTTGTCTTTTCACTTTCTGGATGTTGACCCTTAAAGGACAAAAATTTTTGATTTTATTAAAGTCCACTTTATCTCTTTTTTGTTGCTTGTGCTTTTGGTGTCATATCTCAGAAACCATTGCTTAATCCATAGTCATAAAGATTTACTCTTACTTTCCTCTAAGAGTTTCATTTAGGGCTATGATCCATTTTGAGTAATTGTTTTATATAGTGTGAGGGTAGCCTTCCAGATTTATTCTTTTGCTTGTTGCTCTTACTTATCCCAGCACCTTCTCTTTAAAAAAAACTGAATTGGGGGCGCCTGGGTGGCTCAGTTGGTTGGTTGTCAGGTTCTTGGTTTCAGTTTGGGTTGTGATCTCGGCGTCGTAAGATTGAGCCCCGTGACGGGCTCTGCACTCAGCATGGAGTCTACTTGGGATTCTATCTCTGTCCTTCCCCCAGCTTGTGCTTGCTGTCTGTCTCTCTCTAAAATAAGTAAATAAAATCTAAAAAAAAAAAAAAAAAAAAGGAAAGGAAAGAAAAGATACTGAATTGAATAATCTTTGCACTCTTGTGGAAATTCCATTACTGGACTCTGAATTCTCCTCCATACATCTGTATGTCTCTTCTTATGTCAGCAACACACTATCTCAATTAGAATTAGTGTTTTTGTTTTGTTTTTTAAGGTGGGGAGGTAAGGGGCAGAGGGAGGGGAGAGAGAGAGAGTCTTAAGCAGGTTCCACGCACAGCGTGGATTCCAACACAGGGCTCAGTCTCACAACCCTGAAATCATGACCTGAGCTGAAATCAAAAGTCGGGCGCTTAACTGACTGAACCACCCAGGTGCCAATAGGGTTAGCGTATTTTTAAAAAGCTCATAACTTCATTTAGTAGAAAACATTTTGGTTCTCATATTATCAGTTCACAACTTTCTGTAAATCTTCTTTAACACTTGACTCTTAAAGTCCAAGTGGTTGTAGGATTAGAACTCTACCTCTTTAGGAATTCTAATCTTATTACTATTGGGAGCCTGAATAATTGAATGTATTATTAAGTCTCCTACAAGTAACTTTCTGTCCATAAATGAGTACTGGAAAGCAAGGAAATGGTATTAAAAAATGTTTGAGGGTGAGCTTTATATTTCTCTGAAGGTAAAATAATGTTAGTGGTTTACACATACTGAATATTTCCTGTGTCCCCTATACTGTCCTAAGTGCTTATGTGATAAATCTTTTTATTGTCCTAACATCCCTTTGAAGCAGGCTCTATTATTATTTCCAGTGTGTATATTAGGAAACAGAGGTAAAGACAAATAATTTGCCAAGAATCACATGGTTAGGAAAAGGCCTGGCCATCTGTGTGTTAGGTTTTTAGTACTGCTTTGGATAGTACCTAATGCACTGCCACTGTTCAGTGAATGAATCCTCAGAGCCATCCTCATGATATGCGTATGGCCTTAAACTATGGTGATTCACAGAGATCTCTGGTCTTTCATTGAGACAGAGATAGGAGTCCTCTGTGGTTATATTTTTTCTTTTCATTTTCCTTGACAGCCATCTGCAGGATCTAATATAGCTATGTGCACGTTGCTGATAGCTTTATTTGTATAAGAATTGCTAGTAATCTGATCTGTTACAGATTAACAGTATGGGGTTTGGAGGTAAGTAGACTGTCTGGTTTGAATCTTCCCTTTACAAATACCATATGTATAACATTGAAGCATGTTACATACTTCTCCCAAGCTGAAATGGGATTATTGTAGAACCAGTTTCAGTGTTCTTATGAAAATTAAGTGAGATACTACTATAAAGTGTTTAATATAGTACATGACACTTATAGTGTGTATTCAATAACTATTAATTCTTATTACCAAAAAATAACATATCCCAGTGTTTTACTGACAATCAATATTTTCTTGTTCTCTAAGTCACATAAGAATTTCACTTTTCCCATTAAATGTCCATACTACCCAAAGCAACCTAGAGATTCAGTGCAGTCCCTATCAAAATTGCAATGGCATTTTTCACAGAAATAGAACCAACAATCCTAAAAATTTTGTGTTACTACAGTAGCCTTCAAATAGCCACAGCTATCTTGAGAAAGAAGAGGAAAGCTGGAGGCATCATGCTCCCTGATTTCAAACTATATATAAAGCTGCAGTAATAAATAAAAGTATGTTCTTGGCATAAAAACAGACACATAGGTCAATTATACAAAATAGAGAGCCCAGAAATAAACCCATGCACATATAGTCAATTAATTTATGACAAAGGAGCCAAGAATATAGAATGGACAAGGGAGGGGCGCCTGGGTGGCTCAGTTGATTAAGCATCCGACTCTTGATTTCATCTCAGGTCATGATCCTTGGGGTCCTGGGATCAAGCCCCACGTTGGGCTCCACACTCAGCAGGGAGTCTGCTTCTCCCTCTGCTCCTCTCCCCACTTGTGCACTCTCTCTCTCTCTCTCAAATAAAATCTTAAAAAAGAAGAAGAAGAATGGGGAAAGGGACAGTCTCATCATTAAATGGTGTTGGGAAAACTGGAAACCACATTTAAAAGAATAAAACTGGGGCATCTAGGTGGCTCAGTTCGTTAAGCATCTGACTCTTGATTCCAGCTCAGGTCATGATCTCAAGGTCAGGAGATAGAGCACTGCGTCAGCTCCACACTCAGTGCAGAGTCTGGGATTCTCTCTCTCCATCTCCCTCTGCCCCTTCCCCCGCTCACGTGTGCCCTCTCTCTCCTCCTCTCTCTAAAATAAATAAATAAACAAGAAAAAAAAAGAATGAAACTGGACCATCTTACACTCTACATAAAAATTAACTCAAAATGGAATAAAGACTTGAAAAATACTCCTAGAAGGAAACATAGGCAGTAAGCTCCTTGACATTGGCAGTGATTGGCAGTGGTTTTTTTAATTTAACATCAAAAGCAAAAGTAACGAGCAAAAATAATGCACAGCAAAGGAAACCAACAAAATGAAAGGGAACCTACCGCATGGAGGTAGTATTTGCAAATCACATAACTGAGAAGGAGTTAATATCCAACATATATAAAGAACTCCTACAGCTCAGTAGCAAAAAAAAAGAGGACGAAGAAACTGATTTAAAAATGGCCGAGGATGTAAATAAACACTTTTCTAAGAAGACATACAGATGGCCAGCAGGTCCATGAACAGGTGCTCACCACTAATCACCAGGGAAATGCAAATCAAAACCACAGTGAGATATTGCCCACGCCTTTAGAATGACTATTACCAAAAAATTAAGGAAATAACAAGTGCTGGCCAAGATGTGCACTTTTGACAGAAACATAAATTGGCGTAGCTGCTGAGGAAAACAGTATAGAGGTTCCTCAAAAATAAAAAAGTTAAAAATAGAACTACTGGGGCGCCTGGGTGGCTCAGTCGCTAGGCGTATGCCTTCGGCTCAGGTCGTGATCCCGGGGTCCTGGGATTGAGCCCTGTATCGGGCTGCCCCCTGAGCGGGAGCCTGCTTCTCCCTCTCCCACTCCCCCTGCTTATGTTCTCTCTCTTGCTGTGTCTGTCAAATAAATAAATAAAATCTTAAAAAAAAAAAAAATAGAACTACCATATGATCTAGCAGTTCCATTTCTGGGTATTCATACAAAGGAAATGAAAACACTAACTCAAAAAGATAGCTGCAATGAACCCCCATGTTCATTGCAGCATTATTTACAATAGCCAAGACATGGAAGCAACCTAGGTGTCCATTGATGGATGAATGGATAAAGAATGTGTGTATATATGTATATACAAATGCATGCACGTATATGTATCTATTATAGGTACAGATGTGCACATGTGTGTGTGCGCACACACATATGTAAGGGAATATTGAGGCATTAAAAGGAAGGCTATTCTGTCATTTGCGACAACGTGGTTGGACTTTGTGGGCATCATGCTAAGTGGAATAAGACAGATAATTGCATAATCTCGCTTATGTGTGAAACCTTAAAAAAGAAAAAAACCCTTCAGATTCAGATTGATGGTTACCACAGGCAGGGGGCAGTAAAATGTGTGAATGGCATCACAAGACAGAAACTTCTTTTTATAAAATAAGTCATGGGGGTGTAATGTTCAGCATGGTGACTATAGTCAGTAACACTGTATTGTAATATTTGGAAGTTGCCAAAAGAATTGATGTTAAGGGGGCGCCTGGGTGGCTCAGTCGTTAAGCATCTGCCTTCAGCTCGGGTCATGATCCCAGGGTCCTGGGATCGAGCCCCACATCGGGCTCCCTGCTCAGCGGGAAGCCTGCTTCTCCCTTTCCCACTCCCCCCGCTTGTGTTCCCTCTCTCGCTGTGTCTCTCTCTGTCAAATAAATAAATAAAATCTTTAAAAAAAAAAAAAGAATTGATCTTAAAAGTTCTTGTCATAAGAAAAATTTATAACTGCAGTTATGGCTATTAACTAGACATTGATTATTTTGTAGTATATACATATATTGAATGATTGTGGTGTATACCTGAAACTAATACGTTTATACATTAATTATGTTTCAAAAGAAAAAAGTGGTTCAATTTTGGGGGAAAAAAATCTCAGTTTTCACTTAGGTTTACTTAGTGTACTACAGATAGGAAATATAGCTGAATGCTGAAAAGCATGAACTGTGCCTTAGTTTATCCATTTGCAAGGTGGTGATAAAAGTGTCTACATCACATAGGTCTGTTGTAGCAACTAAATGAATGAGTTTGTAAATCATTTAGAACAGTGTCCAAACCATATATTCCATTATATGAATAAGATTAAAAAAAGTCTCATTTTTGCCTAACTCAAAGACTTTTGTAAATACTCAAGAAATCTTATGCAGTATACAGTTGGTCTGTTATGTAGGTAGCTTCTACTAAAGATTTATCTGAACAAATGCTGGCTTAAATATTAAATGCCTGTATTGTGACTTAAGTAGCCACTCGGTCCAAATAAATGATCCTATCACCTTTTGCCATGAGCTGCTTGTGGATTCTGTAACTATATTGGTGATGCAGTGAAGCTTGAGATGCCCCCAAGATGCCAGCATGCCAAGGGCCTTAGTAGTGAGACTGACATTTGTTTGCCCATCCTGAGGCTGGGGAGAGAGTTTGTTTCTGTCCAACCCTTGCAGTCTCTTCTTGCTGCCTGGGGCTGCTGCTGTATTCTCATTGCCACTTCGGCTGCCTTTTTTTTTTTAAGATTTTATTTATTTATTTGACAGAGAGAGACACAGTGAGAGAGGGAACACAAGCAGGGGGAGTGGGAGGGGGAGAAGCAGGCTTCCCACTGAACAGGGAGCCCGATGTGGGGCTCGATCCCAGGACCCTGGGATCATGACCTGAGCTGAAGGCAGACGCCTAATGACTGAGCCACCCAGGCAGCCCACTTCAGCTGCTTCTACTTGTGCCTTTTTCCTTCTCTTTTTCTTGTCATTTCCTTCAGCTGCTTCTTTTTTCTTTCTTTGGAGTATGGCATCTTCATTCATCTTCAGACAGTAGTAGCATTGATTTCTTCTAGCCTATAAACTTAAAAACCTCAGCACCTACTTCGCTACCATCTTTGCCTTCTACTCTTCTTCATGGTACTTGTGTTTTGCACTTTCCTTCTTTAGTAAGGTTATAAGGTCTAATTGACCAACCTGTCTAGTCCAGTGTCCCTCTGAATCCACCTACTTCTGACTTGCCAGCCCACCACTTCTTGAGTCCAGGCCCAGGTCTTAGTCCACTAGTGCTTTTCTGTTTCTCCCTTTCCCTTGGGTTTTTAAACATGTTGTTTCTTGAGCTTAGACAATTCCGTTTTCCAAACTACCCCCCCACCTCCAATCTTTTATGCCTTAGACTAGATGATGCTTTCATTGAGAAACATTCTTTTTCTATAAATTGCTTTTCCTTTAGGATCCCATAGCATTTACCAAATTTTGTTAGGTATCTGATCTCACCCAGGTGGTAAGCTTTGTGAGGATAGGAACTGTTCTGTATTTTCCATACCCAGCGGTACAATTTCTGACACATGGTAGGTAGTTAATAAATACTTAACTTTTGAGGTTAGGACATTTGAGTGCCTAGATGACTATGGGTGTTGTTGTATATATGTTCTGTTATTATTGCTTTATAATAAGTACATTATTCTTAAAGTATGTAAAAAGCCTTATTTGGTATATCTCATGCTTACAAATAATATTAGTTTGCTTATACTCATGGAGAAAGTTGATTATAGAGTCATTTAAAATATTTAAGTATAATTATTTCCTTTATTTAGTTACAGCCAAGTTCTACTTCTGAATCTATGGATCAACTGCTAAACAAAAATAGAGAGGGAGAAAAATCAAGAGATTTGATCAAAGACAAAATTGAACCAAATGCTAAGGATTCTTTCATTGAAAATAGCAGCAATTGCACCAGTGGCAGCAGCAAACCGAACAGTCCCAGCATTTCCCCTTCAATCCTCAGTAACACGGAGCACAAGAGGGGACCTGAGGTCACATCCCAAGGGGTTCAGACGTCCAGTCCAGGATGTAAACAAGAGAAAGATGATAAAGAGGAGAAGAAAGATGCAGCTGAGTGAGTAAACTTTGAATTGAGCACATCCTGTTCCTTACTTTTTCTTAAAGTGTACAGGGGCTTTCAGCTCAAGAATCTCTCTGGACTTTTGGACTGCTTTATATGTAGCCCTCAAGTTGCAAACAACTGGTCTGAACAGCTGACATCTTAAGTAAATTAGGTCTTTGCACTGTGTACTCCTTTTCCTTCCTTCCCCATTTTTGTTCCCCATGGCCAGAATCTAGACTAAATTAAGAAAGACTCTTTTCTGTAAATGTACAGGGAGTTTTGGGAAGTATATATCCTGGATGCTAGTCAGTACCCACCTCCTAGCCCTGCTGCTAGAACCAAGAACTGCTATTGCCAAGAAAAGAAAGAAGTGTCTGGTGCCCCTACTTGGAATGCAGTATGTTTTCTTATAGAAACAATGTTTTCGTTAATTGTTAGATTTGTTAAGATAAACTTAATCCTCCACATTTGATGTATTATCAGTTGAATGGATCTTTGTGGGCGAGTCTCAGAACCTAACCACCGTTAATTTATCTGTTCATACAATCCATTTACAGCTGAACTTTTGGAATGCAGCTTGTTGATCTGTCAGACAGTGCTTGTTCTTCATATAAGGCAAAAATTTTTATTAGAGTCATGATTCTTCCCAAGGTGTGTCATATAGGCAAACATTTTGTCACATTAGAAAATATTGCATGCTAGGGGGTACCTGGCTGGTTCAGTCTGCAGAGTGTGTGACTCTTGATCTCAGCGTTGTGGGTTCTTCCACCCGATGCTGGGTGTAGAGAGTATTTAAAATCTTAAAAAAAAAAAAGAAAGAAAATACTGCATTCTAGAGAATTGGTATATTAGGGATTGCTTTTAGGGATATTTTGTCTTCTCAGTTTAAGTTGATTTATTGATTGCCTTTGAGAGAAGAATTAATATTAACACTTTTTTTAGTATTTATTTGAGAGAGTGCATGCACGCGTGTGCATGGTTTGGGGAGGAGTAGGGGGAGAGGGGGATAGAGAGAATCCTCAAGCAAACTCCCCACTGAGTGCAGAGCTTGAGGCAGGGCTTGATCCCGGGACCCTGAGATCATGACCTGAGCCAAAATCGAGTCAGATGCTTAACCAACAGAGCCACCCAGGTGCCCCCACTTTTTTAAAAAAAGTGCCCTTTTTTGGCCTGTCTTTATCAGATTAAGGAGTGGGAAATATGTGTATGCATTTTAATGAAGAGAATTAGTGATCTAGTAAGAATTGTTTAATGTATGTTTAGCAATTTTTTAAAAAGGTATAGAAAACTTGAGAGAAACACAAGTTCCATGCAAATTTTACTGGCCCTTTTTAATTTTCCCCTGGTTTAGGCAAGTGAGAAAATCAACTTTGAATCCTAATGCAAAGGAGTTCAACCCTCGCTCCTTTTCTCAGGTAAGGTTGTTTCTCTCTCTGAAGTAATCATAGTCTCAAAAAAATAAATTTATTATTGGTAATAGTATTTTCCCCATACCTGCCATCTACACTCACTTATAGGATGCTGAAACAACTTGTAGTTTAAATTCCTTTTTCTTATATGGTCATTCATGAATATTTTTGAGTCATTGAAGAGATTCTTGTTTTATTTTGTCATCAGTTAGATGTGATCTGTGGTAAATCTTTGAATCTTTCTGACTGGCTGGCTAACTAGGCTTTCAGGTTTATAGATAAACTATTTTTATTCTTCTGAATTTATAAGCTACTTACTTAATTTTTTAAAAACACTTTCTTCAGTTCCTTAAATATCACAACTATTTTTAAAGTATTATTGATAAGTTGGCAATTATTGTAATTAATTGCAATTGAAATTAATTGTAATTTCTACCTAAGTGTTTTTCCTTTTATTTGAAACATGGAAGTTTCTAAAACTTTTTCATGAAAAGGCACTAAAAGCAAGTAGAACTTAGAAAGATGGGAAAAATCCGTTCTCAGATTGCAATAATAGTTAGCATTTCACCTTACGGTAATTGATTTTTATTTTTGTAGCCAAAGCCTTCTACAACCCCAACTTCACCTCGTCCTCAAGCACAACCTAGCCCATCTATGGTGGGTCATCAGCAGCCAGCTCCAGTTTATACTCAGCCTGTTTGTTTTGCACCAAATATGATGTATCCAGTCCCAGTGAGCCCAGGCGTGCAAGTAAGTCCTAGATTTTGATGTTCATTTACCCTCCTTAGTTATTTGTATTTGATACCAAGCACTCTCTCGGTGTGTGGTGACTTAAGGCAGTAATGGCAAAACAAGAGTATTTGAAAGGGGGAGGCATGCAATGGCATGGTGTGTTGTTAGTATAAAAACCTAAATCTGAGAATGTTTTCTGGTGAGAAAGAAAGACGGTTTAGATTTACTGCAGTTTGGGGTTTGTCCTTTTAGGTGTGGGTATGATTTTATTTTTTAATGACTCCTGGAGAATCAAGAAACTTCAGAGCTAGCTCTCTAGCAATATACAACTAAGAGAAAATAGTAAAATATATTCTTATTACCTGAAAAGCCTAATACTCATTTTTTTTTTTTAATTCCCTCAAGCCTTTATACCCTATACCTATGACGCCCATGCCAGTGAATCAAGCCAAGACATATAGAGCAGGTAAAGGTGAGAATAATCCTGCCTGTGTTTGCTTGTAGTCTGCATGCTGCATGAATTAAGTAACTCATTTAGAATGAATGAATATTTGTAGTTCAGCTTTCACTTTTGATGAGCCTGTGCATTGACTTGTGGTACCCAACATTACATAAGGTATTTGGATACACTTTTTTTCCCCCCAAGATTTATTTATTTGAGAAAGAAGGGGGAGGGGGCAGAGGGAGAAGGAGAAGAAGAGAGAAACTCGAGCAGACTCCTCACTGAGAGCAGAGCCAATCTCACAACCCTGAGATCATAACCTGAGCCAACACCAAGAGTCGGACGCTCAATGGACTGCACCACCCAGGTGCCCCTAGTTGCATTTTTATGAACAAGACCTAGGGGAGGAGAACTGCTCATCAGTTGTGATTGTTCAAGATCCTCTTCAAAAAGAATAATTGAATTTTGAAGTTTTCATTGTTAAATTTGAAGAGTGTTTGCTAAATTAATTTACTGGGTTGTTGACCTTTTTATTTCATACTAACATACAATCCCCCCTCCCCCAATCCAGAATTTCTTTTTGAGCCCAAGGGCATCGCATTTCAGCAACCATCAAAATCTTCATAGTAGAGGATGTTTCCTCATCTTTTTTTTTTTTTTTTAAAAGATTTTATTAGTTTATCTGACAGAGAGAGACACAGTGAGAGAGGGAACACAAGCAGGGGGAGTGGGAGAGGGAGAAGCAGGCTTCCCGCCGAGCAGGGAGCCCGACACAGGGCTTGATCCCAGGACCCTGGGATCATGACCTGAGCCGAAGGCAGACGCTCAACGACTGAGCCACCCAGGCGCCCCCTCATCTTTAAAATGAAAATGTTGTGGGGCGCCTGGGTGGCACAGTCGGTTAAGCATCCAACTCTTGGTTTTGGCTCAGGTCGTGATCTCAGGGTCGTGAGATCAAGCCCTACGTTGGGTTCCAGGTAGTTTGCTTGGGATTCTCTCTCCCTCTCCCTCTGCTCCTCCCCACCCTCAAATAAATAAATAAATCTTTAAAAAAATAATAAAATGAGAATGTTGTGTAATCCAATATTCTACACTTGGGATTAAACAGCCTTCATGGGAAAAAACACACATTGATCTTTTTTTTTTTTAAGATTTTTTATTTATTTTATTTATTTGAAAGAGAGAGACAGAGATAGCAAGAGAGAGCACAGGCTGGGAGAAGCAAGCTCCCTGCTGAACAGGGAGCCCGATGGGAACTTGATCCTGGGACCGTGGGATCATGACCTGAGCCGAAGGCAGACGCTCAACCAACTGAGCCACCAGGCACCCCAACACATATTGATCTTAAAACGAAATCTTTTAGGGCGCCTGGGTGGCTCAGTTGGTTGAGAGACTGCCTTTGGCTCAGGTCATGATCCCGGAGTCCTGGAATCGAGTCCTGCATCGGGCTCCGTGCTCAGCAGGGAGTCTGCTTCTCCCTCTGACCCTACTCCCCCCACTGTCTCTCTGTCTCTCTGTCTCTCTCAAATAAATAAAATCTTTAAAAAAAAAAAGAAAGAAATCTTTTAATGTTGGCAAATGCTAAAGGATGTCCTTTTTCGCCATGCAGGTAGTTGAGAGTTATTAATTGCTATCATTTTATTAAGAAACTATAGAAAGTAAATGATTTATATTAAAAATATTTCTCAATGCCCAGTAATACCCTCCTGACCTAAAACTTTGACTTCTTAAATTAATAAGCTTTCCTCAGTATTTGAAGTAATCATTTTGTGGATGTTAATTAAAATTCTTAATTTTTTTTTTAAACAAGTATGGTATCCTTTGCCTTTGAACACTGGAACGTGTTGAAAGAACTGTAGCTTGGATAATTTGAAGTTACCTAGTTTTAAGATTAATCTTATTCTGTGGATCTAAAAAAATTCAGGTGGAGAAAAGGTTTTTTTAGTGCCATTTTGAGTGAGGTTAATATTAAGGTGTTCCTTCCTCTTACACTGTTGGTGGGAATGCAAGCTGGTGCAGCCACTCTGGAAAACAGTATGGAGGTTCCTCAAAATGTTGAAAACAGAGCTGCCCTATGACCCAGCAATTGCATTACTGTGTATTTACCTCAAAGATACAAATACAGTGATCTGAAGGGGCACCTGCACCCCAGTGTTTATAGCAGCACTGTCCACAATAGCCAAACTATGGAAAGAGCCCAGCTGTCCATTGGCAGATGAATGGATAAAGAAGATGTGGTATATCAATACGATGGAATACTACTCAGCCATCAAAAGAAAAATGAAGGGGCGCCGGGGTGGCTCAGTCAGTTAGGTTTCTGCCTTTGGCTCAGGTCATGGTCCTGGCGTCCTGGAATGGAGTCCCGCATTGGGCTCCCCACTCAGTGGGGAGTCTGCTTCTCCCTCTGCTCCTCCCCCTGCTTGTGTTCTCCCCCTCTCTCTCTCCCTCTCAAATTTAAAAAAATAAAATAAAAATGAAATCTTGCCATTTGCAAAGTATGTGGATGGAACTAGAGGGTATTCTAAGCGAGATAAGTCAGAGAACAACAAGTATCATGATCTCACTTGTATGTGGAATTAAAGAAACAAAACAGAGGATCATAGGGGAAGAGAAGAAAAAATAAAACGAAATCAGAGAAGGAGACAAACCATAAGAGACTCTGAAGCATAGGAAACAAACTGAGGGTTGCTGGAAGGGAGGAAGGTGGGGGATGGGGTCACTGGGTGATGGACATTAAGGAGGGAACGTGATGTAATGAGCACTGAGTGTTATATGAGACTGATGAATCACTGACCTCTACCTCTGAAACCAATAATACATGTTAATTAATTGAATTTAAATTAAAAAAATACTAAGGTGTTCCTATATTACTACCTGGTTTGGGGATATTTTAATGATTATTTAAGACAGCACAATGGGGATGTTTTTATGTTAAAACAAAAAAGATAATTGCAGTGAAAGCAAGCACTATAGTATGGCTCTGATGGGAGAGAGGCACTTTAACTTCAGGCGGCAGTGTCATTTCCCATAGACAGAGACGTTGTGCGCTCCGAGGGACCCTCAGCCAGTGTTGCAGAGCCAGTTCCGAGAAGGTGGAACAGGCACACTACAAACAGCAGCTGTAAACATGTGCTTTGCTAAGAAGGTGGAAAGTGACATGGTAATTGCTTGGTCCATAGTTCAGATTTGGTGATTATCAAGATTTTGCCATATTTATTTGAGGGGTGCTTTGTTTCTTTGCTGCAGTATTTAAAGTAGATCCCAGACGTCATGCCATTTTATTTCTACATACTTAGTGTGTATCCTTTTGAATATGGGACATTTTTCTTAGCTAGCCAGAGTGCTGTTATCACACTTTATAAAATAGTAATTCCTTTTTGTCTAATAATCACCATAATTACATTACCTTGGTTGAGTCATGTATATATTTTTACAGTTGGTTTGTGTGAATATGGATCAAAGTAGTAAGATCCATACTTTATTATATTTATTACATGTCTTTGTAATTCCCCTGTCTTCCCCCCTGCTATTGCTTTGTGGCAGAAACCAGTTGTTATATAGGAATGTCCCATATTCTAGATTGTTCACTTCTTGTGATGTCATTGATTACATTCAGGTTTAATTTTTTTGTGGGAGAGAGGTAAGAATATTTAATAGATGATTGTGAGTTCCATTGGATCATTCAGGAGGTGTACAAGATCTGGTCATACTTTGATAATTGGTAAAATTAAGGGCTCAGGTGGTGATAGCCCAGTCCTCCCCTCCCCAGATGTAAAGTTTTCTGTTACTCTTTCATATAATTTGTTAGGGCTCTGGTTCTCAAATTTTAGTGTGTATCAGAATCACTTGGTGAGTTTGTTAAAAACACAGATTGCTTGGCCCCAGCCCCAGAGTTTCCAATTCAGTAGGTTTGGGATATAGCCTGAGAATTTAAATTTCTAGTGCAGCTTATAAAACTAGTTCCCTAGTGATGCTGATGGTCTGCGATCATACTTTGAAAATCATTGCAGTTAGGAGTTTGAAAACAGTAATTTCTGAATTCCTAGCATTTCTTTTCTGTTCGTTAGCTGGAATCATCCTGTAAGGGACTGTTCTTTTCAACTAGGGCTGTATATGGTTATCCTCAGATAGTTGGTACAGGAAAGTTAGAATAAATGCTTAAATTTAAGGGCTTAAAATTGCCTTAAGTGCCAGTTTCCAAGGAGGAGTTGGTGCCCTTGATACTTTTCAGTAGTGTCTAGTGAAATTGTTCGCTTTGAAAGATGTCGCTGTCTCCCCTTTTTTATTTTTTAAATGTTATGAATGCATGGATTTTCATATACTTTTATATATTCATTGTGTTTCAGTCAGTTATTCTTTTTGCTGCTCCTATTGTCCCATCTTTTATCAATGGCAGTCCCTTCCAGTTGGCTTCTGTGTCCTTTTGGTGTACTATTCATTTGTCTTTTTTTGAAGGTATAATTTGTTTATTTGAGAGAGAGCACATATGAGCAGGGGAGAGTGGCAGAGGGAGAGGGAGAAGCAGACTCCCCGCTGAGCAGGGATTCCCGACATGGGGCTCAATCCCAGGACCCCGAGATCATGACCTGAGCCAAAGGTAGATGCTTAACCGACTGAGCCACCCGGGCGCCCCCTCTGCATTTGTCTTTGATAACTTCCTTAGTTTCTGCTGTAAGTAAGATGTTTCAGGCTAATCTTTTTCTAAACTCAGACCTGGATCCATATTCCTTCAAGGAATCCTGATTCTTTTTGCGGAAATAGTATTTATAAACCGTTTTCTGGTCTTTGGGTGTGCTGTTGAGTACTGTGTCTTGGCCTTTTCAGTGGACAAAATTAGGAAATTCATACTGATACATCTAATTCAAGTTAACACTGCAAGATTTTTACAGTGACTTCTTGCTTGCATCTCTTTTTCTTTTCCATTGAAAACTTTGTAAAAATAGTAACTGTATTATCCTTTTAAAAAAGAAAAAGAGGGGCGCCTGCTTGGCTCAGTTGGTTAAGCATCTGCCTTTGGCTCAAGTCATGAT